TGCAAAGAAAGTAGTGCTGAGAATGAAATGAAACAGATGGAGATAATTATAAAAATGTATCTGGAGGGAATTCACATTAGGTTGAAAATTATGATGACTAATTTAATTGGAAATATTTTTATCAAATGTCCTGAATTAAAAGTCATAGCTAAATGTACCTGTGATGAAATCTTGTCAGCTGGAAACACACAGAAATATAATAGTAAAACATGTGTTTTTCTTTATTTTCAAAAACAGAAGTCCTGAGCTTTGAAATTCTTTATTTGTGCCAATATATCATTTGAGAATATTAAGATTGTCCTTTCCTTACATGAATAGAAGTCTGTTTCACCAAAAGAATTATGACTTCTTAGGTTTGTACTTGGGAGGGCACTTTCAGATGGCCAGATCTTGAAAACATGAGACACATCTTTTAGGACATTAAATCTTGCCCTAATTAAATAGAGGTCACCACATGTTCTGCCAATCATAGCAAACACATGTGGCAAAATATTTGAGATAGAAAACATACTCCTGAGGGACCCTGTGGACTTCTTGGGGTCATAGAAGAGGCATTTTAGAGGAAAGCAAATGTTCTTTGGCTCTTATTGGATAATTGAAGCCTAATTATATTAAATAAATCAGTGGTTAGGTTGGTGATGGTGATGAAAACTGTTAGTGTCTTTGGCCTTACACTTAGAGGGTGTTTTTCTTTTAGGGTAACAGCTTGGAGACATATATAATTAACTTCTTAAAAGACAACGAGAAATACATATAGCCACCTCTTCACTAAGGCAAGTGTAAAGGAAAAGGCCATTTCCCTTGTCTACACTTGGGTATTTTAGTCACACTTCCTATTTCTTCTTTTCTCTGTTTACTTTTATATTTTATTTCATGAAGTATAGAGAAGATAAAGTTGGGATTTTATTAAATATTTGGAATATTCTCAAGCAAGAATCCCCTTATTCACGTATGGTTTCTTAGCTTAACAACCTGAATTTTAATGACTTATGAAAATTCAAGCTCCTGCCTCCTATTTCCTCCCTGATCTCTACAGTCTTCTAGAGAATTCCAGCACATTGAGGAACACCTTGTACTTTAATACTGAAGAGCGAGATGATTTAAAAATTACACATGAGCTAGTACCATGTGATTTTGGTTTTTTTTTTTTGCCAAACGAGACGCCTACAAGAGCTCATAGAATGTGGTGTGATTTGTGGGTGCTGGGTCACGAAGAATGTTCATTCCTTTAATAGCATTCCTTATTAAAATACATATACCACACAAAGCATGGGAAGAATTATTGACTAGCCCTGTATTTTGGATCAGTCTAAAGGAAAGTCGTTGTGAAAATAAGACCCCGGGAAGGGATCTGGACAGGGCAGATGCCAGAAGTCGAGGTATGAAGGTGTTAAAAATATAAGCAGAATGTCACAGTTTAACCAAGAGCCCAACTGATTTTCTGTGTGTATGCTTTTCTACTTCCCGCCTGCTTCTTGTTGCCTACCTTTTCCATATTCTCCATTTGCATGACAAGTCACTTACTTTGTTAGCCTCCCCGCCACACATATTTACTCACCTGCTCCTATGAATGTGACTAGGTGTCCTGCTGTTGCTGCTAATCCGTGTTCACATCCTCAGTGGGCTGGGGTGATACAGGCTAAGCATGGCCTGAGTATGGGAGCTGTCTTCTAGGTATTCATCAGTTCATCTCATGTCCTTTTAAGCCATGTGGACTCCGTGGCCCAGAAACCTGGGAAATAGACACCACTGCACTTACCGGCCTGATGATGATGATGGCGATGATACAGTAGCTGATAGCTAATGAGTACTTACTACTACGTGCTGGGTACTCCGCTAAGTACTTTAGATATACTCATTTTTAAACCTCAAAACTGTTCTTATGAGTTTAGGGACTATTATGATTCTCGTTTTACAATAAGGGAATTAAGACACATGGAGATTAGCACCGCACAGGAGGTGAGGGATAGGGGTGGGATTTGAGCCCCGCCTGTGTGGTTCTGGACCTCATGCTTTTAATTGGTTCCCTCTGTCTGACTTTTACTTACAAGTACTCAGCTTGAATAACAAGAATTTTAATATCAAAGGTTATAGACTGTTCTGTGCAACTTGACTGAAGACAGTCTGTTTCTGCCTTTTTTTCCCCATCTGCCTTTCTTGAGGAGCCCTCAAGGTTACTTGCAGACCACTGGGGTCCACTGATGAGAGTGTTGCTTTCACTTGGCTTGAGCCACTCAAATGTTCTGTTGCTCTTGGGTACACCTGTGACCTGAGAAGTCTTTTCATGGAGTCCCTCTGGGAGTTGCTTGTGTATCTCCTCATTAGGAATGGCTCACCCTACCCTAGAGTGAAAGGGCGTCAGGGATGAGAAACATGATGCCACCCCGTTGATTCACACACCCCTCTCCTCCTGAGCTCCTCTTGTCCTGCTTCTGCCTGGACATCTCCAACCCAGCTTCTTCACGTAGGGTGACTCAGCTCTGCTGTCCTTTCAACCCTGTTCCAAAGTAGCTGGTTGTCTTGTCCCAGTGGAACTGTTTGACTGCCTTAAATTTTAATTCACTCCCACAAAGTGCTGAGGCACTTCATACAAACCAAGAGCCCCCATACACAACGAACAATGCTTTGCAGTAAATCACCATGGATTATCCATACTTACCATATGCTTTCCACCCATGCAGACCTGTGTACTTGTTTCTATTTCTCTACGTGTAGTGGTGGGTACTGGGTTTGGACTCAACGTCTCCGGTAGAGTAGGGCAGGGCAGGAGTGGCCTTGGAATAGCTGAGGATAGCTCCCTTAGTTCTGGAAACTCCTTGTATTTTGAGGATTTTTAAAAGATTGGTGGTTCAACTCTGAGAGGTAGCAAACATTAGATCTAATGCTGACCAATTCTCCTGGGGTGATGTGTTCAGGCACATGGCTGTGTGAGTTAACTGTCTAAGTGAACTTATTGCTAGGGACTATATCAAGAGTGCGTGCTCAGATCCAATATGGAAAGTGTGTTCACGATGCTGAGGATTTTTTCTCAGCATCATGGGAAAAGAGCCTTGTCCTGGCCCACAGCGGTAGCTGTAACAGAGGATTCTGTCTTTACCACTGAGCTCTGCACGCAACGTGTAAACAAGCCTTGTTGGCAACTAAACCATTTTTTTCCCGAGCATCTTCCATCCTGAGGCTCATGCTGGATTGAATTGTGTCTTCTGAAAAAGCAACTCTGCTGCTGTCAAGTAACATTGTTCTACCACAGCCAAAATTTACACAACTTGTCACCTGCAGGGAAACTGGAAATTGAAAGAACTTCCACCAATAGGACCCTGGCCAGCTTGGCTGGGAGCTCCTCCACTGAGCCTAACACTGGGGTGTGGGTAGCCTACCATAAAGAGATTGGATAGAAAATTATACTATTCTGCTGGCCATGGCTTTTATTAGGGTTAGGGGCTTTGCACGGCTTTCTAAACTTCAAGACATAATTTACCAAGGCTAATTTCTAATCTAAACTAGTGAACCTCTGCCATCATTGCACACATCAAGAGAGATCTGAGACAGACTGATCTGTTTTTTCCAGACTTGTTTAAGCATTTGGGGACTGTCCGGATGCAGGAGCCTAGAGGGTCATAGACTGGATTTCTAGGAAATCTGCTGCTGTCACAGGTACAGATTCAAGAACTTGTATTTTCGGAATAGATAAGGAGAAGCTGGTGTGAACAGACACCTCACATGCTATATATTAAAGGCGACATGTATGTATGCATGTGACAGTGTACATATTTATGCATATGCTTTGGGGAAGGAGGAAATGTACTTTGAATCTAAGTAGAGTTTTCGCTGTACACGGGTGTGATCAAAAAACAAAGCTGAGTGTCCACTATGTAAGCGGCCATTTGATTCTATTTTCCATTCTGTGAGGGCAGATGATGACTTCAAGGAGTATGTCCTAAGGGCTTCATATGATGTTCTGCTGTTTGATGACGTCGCTCCCGTACAACTGTGACAAGGGAACAAAATGTTTCTGTACCTAGTGGTGCCGCGAACAGAACAACTCCACCAGATGCTGGAGTTCTATTTGAAATGTTAGGCATTTGAACAAGAGGTAAAGATGTGGCAATTCCTGAGTTACTGAGTCAGCCTGCAATAGCGAGGCCAACTACTGCCCATGAAATATCTTTGCCGACAGTTGAAGAACAAGATGTTATTAACTTTACACAGGCTCTCTATCGTGCTGGGGCTCAAGTTAGAAGTGTGGAAGAAGATGGCCGCTACAGGGAAAATTCAGCTGAATTTTTCCATAGAAATCCAGCTTCCCTGTGCAGATTAGTGCCCTGGGTAAGACGGGTACTTAGAGTTCTTTCAGGAGCTAACGAATCTTCAGTGGATATCATCCAGCACATCATCATGACTAATGTTACTCGCTATGATTTGGACAGCCAGGCATTTGTGTCTGATTTAAGACCATTTTTACTTAATCTAACTGAGCATTTTGTACATGAATTGATCAGTTTTGCTTGATCTCCTTTTCGCATGGCAGTCTTTGACCAACGTATTGATTATGATTACCCTGCGCCTTCCAATGAAGAAGGCAGCCATTCTGACTCTTCAGTAATAACAATATCTCCAGATGAGTCTGAGACCCAAGAGCTGGATATTGATGTAGCCACTGTTAGTCAGGCACCATGGGATGATGAAACACCGGGACCATCTTACGCTAGCTCAGAGCAGGTACATGTTGCTATGTCTTCCCTTTTAAATGCCTCTGACGGTGCAGATGAAGAACTGGTCACAGGGGCAGCCACGTCTCAGATTCAAGGAGTACAAACCGCTGAGGACTTAAATAATGACAGTGATTCTTCTTCAGATGATTGTGTCATTGTTGGGTTTGTTAAACCACTAGCTGAAAGGACCCCAGAACTTGTTAAATAAATTTTAGTGGTAGTCCCTGTGTGGAGAATTGTAATGTTTGTACCAGAGATTAGTCTATGCTATCAACAAGACCTAAAGAGACAAGTAAAGGCAAGAGAAGAAAAAAGCGTCAAAGAAAACACTTGTAAGATATATAACAAAGGACTAGTAACAATAAAACATAAAGAATATGCATAAATAAAAAAGATACATTGACAATGTTAGTCACAATAGCATAGTTTGTGGTAGTAAAAATTGGAAACAACCTAAATATTTATCAATAGAAAATAGGTTTAATAAAACACAAAGAATGATATATTCATACTGTATCAATTTGAGACAACAACCATTAATACTTTGTGAGTTTCTTTCACCATTTCAATATTTATTGATTAAATCAATGAAACCCTGGAAATGGAAGTAGAAAATTATAGTTTTCCCTGTATCACAAGATATTAAGTAAATTATAGCTTTTAAACAAAATCAGAAGTTTTTTAGTTTATTACTTGTTTAATAGTTGCTGTAAGTCTTTGTAATGAGTATCATGAACCCAAGTTGGTTTGTAAGTGCCAGTTTGTCATAATAAGCAAACAAGGGACCTAAGAACATGGGCTTGATCACAAAGTAAGGTATATAGGACATAGGAGTTTTCTTTAAGTTTCAGTGAGAAACAAATTTCCTCAGGAAGAGACTTGACAAACAATAATTAATCCTCAAGAGAAAATTTTAAGAAATAAAATAAAATCTCAAAAGCTGCATGTGGGCCGCGAGAGCTCGGCGAGGGTGGCTGGAGGCGGGTCCTCCTCTTCCCTGAGCTCCCGCAGACCGTCTGCTCCACGGAGCCGCCGCCTTCAGTGCGCTCAGCCCCCGGACGTCAGGCTCGCGCGTTCGCCAGCCGGAGCCGGATCAGCGGCGACAGCCCCACTCCCCCTCTCCCCACGGCGGCTCCGGGCCCACCAAGGCCGAGGCGCAGCTGGAGCTCCGGCGGGAGCCTGGGACGCCGAGACCCACGTGCGCGGCCTGCGCAGGGCCAGCTGGGGCCCACGGGGAGACGCACCGGAGTGACTGCGAAGAGCAAACTTTGCGCTCTCCGCCTGAGGCCTCGGAGAGGTGACAGATAGTGACTGTGCCACTCTCCCCTCCAAGGCCAGGGGCCGCCACCCCTCTCCTGGCAGGGAGACCCAGGGAGCGCGCGCCTGCTCGTGGGCCCCTCCCCGAAGCTTCTCCGCAGCGTTCCCCGGGCGCGGGCCGGTCTGTCGCTCCGAGTTTGCCTGTCCTCCGACCTTTTTAATGTCTTGGTGTCCCTCCGTCTCGGCCTCTGCGACTCCGTGTCTCTCATGCTCCGTGAATCTCTGTCTCCGTTTCCTGTGGACACTGCATTCGGCTGGGCGTCTTCCTGGGTCTGGGACTCCTCCGCTTCATCTCCCCTCTCCTCCACCCCTAGTGGCACTGAGGACTGCCCCTTTCTGGCCGCCAGACTAGTAGGTCTTGCTGACGGGCAGCAGGATCCCTCTCCGCGCCCCCTACCTCCCTCGGCGAACCCTGACCTCAGCCCCGGGCCAGGCGCCTTCGTGGCTCGGGATGTTGTGTGGGATCGGTCCCGTGCGCTTTCTCGCCAACCCGGTGCCGGCCCATCCCGTCAGGACTTTCTCTCCTGGCCTCTCTCCGGGACACAGAAACGAGCAGCTTCCACGCAGACTGGGCGCATTTCAGTCTCCAGGGCGCAGAAGGGGAGATGGGCTCTGGACCCCGACAAAAACTGAGCGGATGGCTGGGCTGCTGCCCCGACAGCGCCGCGCAGTGGCCAAGGCTCGGCACGCAACGCTGGCGTCCCAGCGGCGCTCGGCTGCCACCAGGCTGTGTGACCCTCATTAGGGAACTTCCCCTTCTGAACCTCAGTTTCCTGGTCTGCGTAGTAGTTGAGAGCGGGGATCCTAGAGTCAGGCTGCTGGGCTTCCAATGCTGGCCTCACTACTTACCAGCTCTGTAGCCTTGGGCAAATTTCTTAAACTCTTTGTGCTTCTGTTAAAATAAGATTAAAAACACGTACCCCACGACAAAAAAAAAAGCTACATGTGGCACTCCCTGAGAGCGGTTAACACAACAGCCAACAAAACATTTCTGCTCCACAGCTCCCAATGATCAGATTACCAGCCCAGTACCACAAATTTCTATCCATCTGCTCCACCTCCTACTGGTCCTCACATATCAAGAGGGTTGATCAGTAATGTTGACTGAAGGCACAATAAATTCAGAACTCCTGAATAGGTGAAGTGGAAACTTAAAAGATAAAAATAAAATCTGGTCTTTGTTCCAAAGAGCTTATAATCTGGGACAGACCCCATAAACATATAGGGCAATGCTTCTCTACATTTAAATCAGTTTAATAAACAAAGAGTGGCTATAATTCTGAAATCAGTACTAATGACCCATCAATGATCTGTAACGGTCACTTTTCACATTGATGAAGAAGTCGTTAAGTCCTCAAACCCCAGAGCAGCTGCCCTCCTTGACTGTGCCCACTCATCCCTGAACAAATGCAGACAGTCCCTGACTTATTATGGTTCGACTTAAACTTTTTCAACTTTATGATGGTGTGAAAGCAGTACGCATTCAGTAGGAATCACACTTCAAATACTGATACATTCTGTTTTTCACTTTCCGTATTCAGTAGGTTACATGAGACATTCAACACTTTATTATATAATAAAACAGGCTCTATGTTAGATGATTTTGCCCAACTGTAGGCTAATGTAAGTGTTCTGAGCATGTTTAAGGTAAACTAGGCTAAGCTTTTCTGTTAGTTAAAATGTATAGAATGCATTTCTGAATTCTGGTATTTTCGACTTATGTTGGGTTTATTGGAACATGACTTCATTATAAGTCAAGGAGCACCTGTACATAAGGCTATTTACTCATCATTTGGGAAGCACAGTCAGAAGCTATAGCTTCGGATGCTTATTTTTTGTCAGGTTCCCCTTTTACTAACATGTACAAAATTATGCCGAGCTCTTATTCTGTTGATTCTTCAATGCCCTAACTGCAAACAAAGCATGCTCCTCCTATCAGTCTCATAGGCAACAAAGCAACCTCCAACCTTATTCTGATGACCCATTTAGACTCTCCTCTCTGGGAAATTGATTTTTACTCCACAAGTCAATCAGAGGAAACCTGCAAGTGGATTGTCTGTGGCCTTTCTGTCAGAGCAGGTTCTATAGTCACACATACCCCCCACCACTGTAATACAGCCAGTTCGCAACACTGTATCTTCATTCAGGATGGAATAGTGACAGAATGTACAATAAAAATGTGACATCCTTGGGGGTAGTGGTTAAAAGCAGAAAAAAAGTAAATACATGGGTCCAATCCATAAAAGCCTCAGAAAGGTGTGTCATACTGAACTGGGCAGGGGATCAAGGCCAAACCCTTCTCTCACGGACACCATTCCCAGTCTCTGTGGACATATATAACCGTATATATCAGTAAGTGTATCTCTGCCACCACCACCCCCTTGGTACCTCCAAATCTTTCCCTCCCATTCTTTCTTAGATCTATTCTAATCAGCCCTTGGTTTCCCCAAAGATTCTGCCCAACGATCACTTTATCAAACATTTCCTTTCAAGATCACCAATGAACCCAATGTTGTGAAGTCTAGTGGTCAACTCTCAGTCTTCATATACCTCTATAGCAGCACGGTGACATAGTTGATCCTACCTATTCTTTTTTTTTTTTTTTTTTTTTTGAGACAGAGTCTCACTCTGTTACCCGGGCTAGAGTGCCATGGCGTCAGCCTAGCTCACAGCAACCTCAAACTCCTGGGCTCAAGCGATCCTCCTGCCTCAGCCTCCCGGGTAGCTGGGACTACAGGCATGCGCCACCATGCCCGGCTAATTTTTTCTATATATTTTTAGCTGTCCAATTAATTTCTTTCTATTTTTGGTAGAGACGGGGTCTCGCTCTTGCTCAGGCTGGTCTCGAACTCCTGAACTCAAACGATCCGCCTGCCTCGGCCTCCCAGAGTGCTAGGATTACAGGCGTGAGCCACCGCGCCCGGCCGATCCTACCTATCTTTTCAATACACTTTTGGTGGCTTCCAGGCCACCAGAATCATTTCTTTTCCTTCCTGTTCCATTGGCTACTCTTTCTTATCCTCCTTGGCTGGCTCCTTCTCTTCTTCCCAATTTCTAAGAGCTGTGGCCCAAGGCTCTGTCTTTAGTTCTTTTCTCTTCTATACGTACACTCACTTCCAGGGTAATTTCTTACAGTCTTGTGTTTTTAAGAATATTTATGTGCCCAAGAACCCAAATGTTTTTTACCTTCATCGAAAATTTCTCTCCTGAATTTCTGTAGTCTACTCGACATGTCTCCTTGGATGTTTAATACACATCACAAACTTAAAAGTCCCTGACTGAATTCTTGTTGTTGCCCTCTAAATCTGCTTACCTTACAGACTTTCCCATCTCTGCTCTGGTGATTTTATCTTTTTATTTACTCAGGCCACAAACTTAGCGTCACTCTTAACTCTTTACTTTCTCTCTTTTGTCCAAATTTATTCTGTCAGGAATTCCTGTTAGTTTGACCTTCAAAATTTATTCAGGATTGGACAATTTCTTACCATTTTCACTGTTTCCACCTTGTTCTAAAAACCACCATAATTCCTAACCTAGACTGTTGCTGTAGTCTTCTAATTGGCCTCACTGATGTTCTTCTTGCGCCAAAATTACCTCCAGAGTGATCTTTTCTAACCTAAGTCAATTCACAGTATCTTAAAGCAAATAATACAATCTCGCTGAACAGTATATCAATCACATGACAACAATGAATTTAATGATGTTAACTTTTATTGGGTTGATCTAAGGGGTCAATGAGATGATAGATAAAAACCACTATAACACTTAGCACACAGTATGCACTTCATTACAGTAGCATGTGCACAACAGTAATTTTTATGTCATTTCTGACATGTGTTGTCTCCATGAATTAGAAGCTACTAATTATTTTCCAAGTTCTGG